GTAATTTATTCTTAACTACCACTCTAGGATGCTCTTTACTATATGCAGTTTTACGGCGTGATTGAGGCCAACAAATACAAACTTTTATTGTAATTGTTAGTTTTCATCTATATCTGTCTATACATCTATCTATGATATATATAAACATACAAACAGGGAGAGGACAAAATAATGGAAAAACTTCTAAACTAATACATTTTTTCATATTTTCTACGAAATACTTAAAGAATCATTTTATATCTTAAGAAGTGTTTAGATCATGTGATTTCTCATACATATCAATGAAGAAAGCTTTATGAGGTTTGAGGGATTGTCAATAAATTACAAACGAAAAATTATGTTTTGTACGCCCTATGCCAACAAACGTAGCTATAAATTTGTAACAATTATTTAGGTTCTTATATGCAAGAAGCCCAAAAAAAATCGCAATACTAGTTTAAATATACAAAGAGATATGGACACTTTTTTTTGTTATAAATAAAAAAAATCTGTAAATTTTAATATTAAGTATGTAAAAAAATTTTTGCATAATTTATTTATTTTTCCAAGCAAAAAAAAAACTTTAAATTTTTATAAATACATACATATATTAGCAAAATTCCTATTCGCTTTAAGAATAACAATATAGAGAATTGATATCTGCGCACTGTATATTTAAATATTGAAAGCATATTATAAAATTAGAATAATTTTTTTTAAATTAATTTTTATGAGAAAAATTTTGCTTGAGTCCAAAAAATTATTTCTGAAGACAGTATAATTTCTATTAATTCAAAGAAGAATAAAGTTAAGAATGGATGTGTGTATTAAATACATAATATATGTTCTGGTAATTCGTTTCTTATTCGTTGGTAATTCGTTTCAATTTATTTGTTCAATTAAATTAAAAACAAATTCAGATGTAATAAAAGAAACACTTTGAGCTGAAATAATCTCAATTAAATGACATCACATGAATACTTGAATATTGGCTTATAAATTAAGATGGTGGATAAATAAATTATTTCATCGATTGATCTGTTCTATGGCGATACTGACTGTTTGAATCATAAATCTGATATTTAGTAAACTATTCAGTCCATCTTTTTTTTTAAAATCAAATTAAATAGTTATGTGTTATAAAATATTATAATATATATGCAGTAATTTGTCTTTAAAGGCTAGATAATTGAAGAGACTTAGGCTGATTCACACAAACAGGCATTTTATTAATTGATCTTAAGTTATTTAAAGCAGTGTTCGTTGGATATTTGCATGGATTACATTGGTGGGGTTTCCCTAGCAGGAATGTTGGGACTTGGTACAGAATTATCTAGCCATGAAAAATATGAAAAGCCATAAATTTTTTCTGTTCCTGATATTTAAACAGGGGTTCTGAAAAGGGAGTTAGTTGCAAAATTATCTTTATCTTAATGAGACGTCATTCAAATGATAAAGTTTGGAGATTTGCTAAAATGATGGTGCTACTCTGACACTGGGGAATTTTTGGGACTATCTTAATGAGTACTTCATCTACGAATTATTGCCCATTAACTTCAGAAAATAATCTTTTTCCTGGCATCTTGACTTTTTACGGCTCTTTGTGAGGGAACGATTTCTACATCTTAAAATTGATAAGAGATATCTGTTTTAAGCTTATCATTTAATATAGAAAGACACGTATGATGCATACTATATATATATATATACTGGGATGCCAACTGCACCGCTTTCTGGAATAGTTTTAATAAAGTGGTAGGAAATTAAATAGTAAAATTCGCGAAAGAAAGATAGTTACGCCTACTTTTTAATAGAGTAACCAGTAAATTGTTGAGTTAACGTTGCTTTTTATATGATACTTATACTTTTTCATATTTNTATATATATATATATATAAGTGAAATAAACTAATCATTCCTTTGAGCATTCACTCCTCTGATTTCAGGCGAAAAGAAATGCTGATTTGCTATGAAGAATGAATTGCATAATCATTTCATCCGTTATTTTTGGAAAATTATCCATCCGGGCTTTTTGATAACCTTCCTCCATTTTACCCACACTTACAAAAGTGTAAATTTTATTCATAAAATTAGTATTAGTATAAATTTCAAGGTGAAAAAGAACACCGTATAAAAAACCACGTTGAAATACGCTTTAAGAAAGGAGTAGACTTACCAACCGTTGGCACTTGTGACGTCACGACCAATCAGGGATCGTTTTTGATTGCATCATCTACGAAGCCTTTTTAGAGCAATTTAAATTGCTAATAAATAAATAAATAAACATTTTTATAAATAAAAAAACTGATTTTCGAATTCGGGAGAAAATTTCCTATACGTTATGACTGAAAATTTAATATTTTAAGAGATGCTGTAATTGTCCACGAGTCTCGGATCGGTATCGGTCCGTGTTTCAAATGGTACTGGGACACCCAAGGAACAATTCTATTGTATTTACTGTGTTGCATTACACTTGCGTTTGAACGACTTTTCAGAGACAAGAGATTCATCAGGAGCTGAGAGACGTCATCTGAATTCGTATCAATGCTGCGTATGTAATTGTATTTTATTTTGCAGACATGTTTTAATAGAATTTAGTTAAAATTGTTAAATCAAAACAGTCAAATGTATGAACAATCGAGTCCCTCCCCCCAGTGGTTCGCGGTGAAATTATCGAACGTTAACCGATACGTGGAGATAAAAAAAAAAATCGGAAGACCTGCTGTAGAGAACAAGATATTATAGTACATTTAGTTTCCGTTGGAAATGGAGCAAATCTTGATGCACTGCCGCGAGTTAACAATTAGTCGAGTATTGGCGATCGAAATAGGCTGCAGGTGGCGTAGAGCAGAACTCTCAACCTTATGGCAACACTTCGCATGCTCTCCCCATTAGCGTGTGGAGAGTCATAGAAGAAGGGAATACGTTAATTTCTCTCTTGATTTTCATATAGATTAAAATCTTTTAAGTTGGAAAACTATAAGGAACTGAAAACTACATTAAACATAATTCTAAAGAAAGGCCTCACGGAAATTTAAAAAAATATTTTTATTTAATAAAAAAAAATTAAGAAAAGGGATAATATCGTAGTACATTCCGATACAACTAAAATGAGGAGGAGAGGGAAGGGAGAAGGACCAAAGGCATGAAACCGGTCCTTCCCCAGGTGGTGTATTTGAGCGTTGCGATTATGCAAATTCGGTTGTTGAGAATCTGAAAATAAAAAAGAAAAATCGCAGCAAGCTGTGATAAAAAATTAAAACGAAATAAGGGGCGTGGCTTCATAGATGCTGGCTGGTGATTGGCTGGTTGAGATTCGCTATGCAGGACTGAGTTCGCCATGTAGAATTTCGTTCATTTCGTTTCCACCGCTGCCAACTTTCTGCGCTTTTTGCAAAACTTTATTCTAGTGTGCGGCCGGCCTTCGTTTCACCTCTCAAGTTGGTAAGTAGTTCAAAGGTAGGAAATGTAAAACTGCGCCTTTGAAAAGTAGCTCTTCGCTATTTTGGATATGGGGGATTTTCGGATGTATAATAGTATGGATGATTTTATATTAAATCATATGGATGATTCCATCCAAATTTTTTCATAGGAGTCTACTTGTAAAATCGTACTCTTCACGTAATTTCCAAGTTGTTTAAAAAATTTACCTTTTTTTTTATTCAATACAAGCCCCGTATTATTTTTTGAAATCATACCATAAAATTTATACCTGATTAGTAAATACTTCAAAATTCATATCAAATTCTAATTTCTAACTAATTCTAAATTCCAATTTTAATAATACATTAGGCAATAACTTCAATATATTATTCAAAATTTTAACAAAAGGGAAAACTTAGAAACCTCAACCAAGCATAGAATCTAACAAACAATTTGTTAAATAAGAATTAGGACACTTTCTAACTAAAGTTTGAAAATTATTTGGATCTAAATAGATAATATATGTGGGGCCAATTCCTGTGCTGTAACCTGATATCAGTTCTCAGATCCGTCACTTAGAAGTCGTCTTAAGCTAAAAATCCCGCCAGTCAATTTAAGCCGCAAGCTGATTCCTGTGCACGACTAGGAAGCAATGGGAATTTCCCTAAGATAAGAGAGCGCGGTGGACAACGAACCGAAAACGACGTGACGTATATGGACTATAAAGAGGAGTTATGATTATACAAAACATTTAAAGACGAACTCTTACTCATTTATTTACTTTTTGTTTTATTTATGTTATTGTTAATCGTCCGTCCTTATGTAAATTTAATTTTCAATATATATTTTTTGTTTTACAAACAGTGCCTATTTATTCTAAAACGACCACTCATACCGTCCCCACATACATAACATGCAGTTGCCAGCAACAATGCATTTAATTGATAAATTTATGAATTGTAACAAATAAGCAATGCTCCAATTTATCAATGCATTATTGCATGTAACAAAATAACAATATGTAAAAATACATAATTTTAGCAACCATTTATTTAATGCATTTGAATTCAATTTAGTTAGTACGTCATTTAATTATTATTTATATGCATTTTAATGAGCAATACATTTTGTTACTAATAACAATGAATTTTTCAGCAATAATGCAGTTAAGTTATTAAAACTATTAGCACGGGTTTGTTTCGTAGTATGAAAATAAGAAAAGAAAAATGCGCAAGTCAGGTAAATTTATTTTTTCTGGATTTCGGTAAAACAATTTATGAAAGATAATTAAAAATATTCTTTAAAAGTTCTCTGCAAAACTTTTAATTTTTTGAGGAGATTTTCTTTTTTTTTTTTGTTGTTGTTGTTGTTAAAATTCAAATGTTACTTTGCTTCTTCAAACTTTTATCTTTTTCATTTGCTAAATTATGATTAATCCTTATAAAATGTCAGGAGAAAAAATTTTGAAAAATGACAGCAATTATCCGCTTTATTTTGAGTTGAACTCTTTTGAGTCTAGTATATATATTGTTTGACTTATCGACTCAATTATTACTTTTTCTTTTCATTAAAACTTGAAAAAAAAACATAAGACATTGCTGAAATATACAATTTTATTACTTTGCATAATACTATTATCACAGCAATTGTTCCAAGAATCTTTAAATCTTGGTTGCGACATTGATGTTAAAAAAAGAAAGACATTTTGATGAATAAATTTTACATGAACGGATGATCTTTTTGAACATGATGCTGCACGAAAAATACGAATCAGTAATATGTACTAGCTGATGGTAAAGATATCTTTCGAACCTTCAACATCAACTTTAGTATTCTGTTCACTTATAGATAGTTTCATTTCTAAAGTAAACTTTTGACGTTTCTTCAACCTGTAAAACAAATAGCATATACGATTATAATTTTTTTAAAAAATAAAATCGAACTTTTTAAACAAACTCCAAAAAAATTGTGGATAGTTCTATGGAAAAATTCTGTACTCGAAAAATTCACCCCATTATATAAAGTTCCAAAAGGTATCGTTGTAACAAAAAAAATAATTACATACATTTAACTACCACTTTAATATAAAAATAAAATTTTAATTATGAATTAAAATAATATATGTTTTTAAACTATAAAGTAACAAATACATTAAAACCAAAGATATGCCAGTTTCTTCGGAACAGTAAATAGTTATTAGATTATTCAAAGACTTAATGTGATGCGCTACTTTGTTACAGTTGAGACGCGTTAAGTCTTTTAAAATGTTGGCAAACTGAACCGAAAATCAGCAAATTTTAGTTTGTAGTCCTCTACCGTTTTTTTAAAATATTTTGTCGAATCCAGAGCAGTTGGCATTTTTGTAAAGGCACCAGTTCTATGAAACTAATAGTAAAATTATAATAATAGCCTAAGCCAGTGTTTCCCGAACTTATGAATTTTGTGTACCCTTTCTAAATTTTTCGTAACGCTGTGTACCCCTAATAAAAAAATGATTGTATATTTTACTGTAAAAAATGCACAAAAGTTAAAAATCACAACTGGCTGTTGACACCACTATTGACTGTTAACTCTGCAAAAAATAGCCAATAGAAAAATAAGTAATCGTAAATTTTCATGGCTAGTTTTGTTTTAAAATAAAATTTTTTGAAATTTTCATTTGTTGCAAGATATTTCGCATAAGAACGCGTACCCCCGCTAAACTGTTCCCGTACCACTGGAGATACGCGTACCACACTTTGGGAAACACTGGCCTAAGCAATAGTAGTATTTTGCTCACATCATGAAGTATTGGGGATTCCAAGCTTTTTTTACATCTTTCATATTACGCCAATATGCTAATACTCACCAGCTACGGACTAGACAACGTTTGATAATATCAGGGCTTTGATTTTAGATTGCTTTCATTTAATATTTTTAAATGTAATTAATCATTCCTTCAAAATAAAATACAATTACAAGCGTGGTTTTGGCGTAACCTTAGGAGACGTCTCTCAGCTACCGATTAACATCTCTTCCATGGAAAGTTGTATTAACACCCTTACATTTTCGTTGCCAAGATTTAAATTTTCAGGGGAAAACTTTCTTTAGTGGTAGGTAAATAGCAATAGAATTGGTAAATACGGTCACAAATATAATCATAGTTGTAGTGTAAACAATCAGAAAATAAGAAATAAATCTTGATTTTGTCAAACCAAAGACGAAAAACGTAGGGCGCATCACTTTCCAAAACACGAGGGATTAATTTTCGAGGCTGGTAGAAGCTCATTACGAAAGCGATGGGCCATCCTTTTTTTAATTTTTGTTCAAATAAGAATTGAATCCTTTTCTCCTTTTTAGTCTACTTGAAAAATTTAGTTCAATTTTTTTTTCCAATACAAGCAATTCTTTAGGGCCAAATCAGGGAAAGTTATCGTTGCCAACAGTCAAAACATGCGGACCACATCTGACTGCCGTTACCTTAAACAGTGAAAACGTGACCGGTCGGCCAAAACAATCTCCAACTAGGGGGGGCCAACGGGCAACCACCGCATCCTACTTAAGCATACGACGGATTTTTTTTATAGCCCGCTTCTGTTCCCTACAAAAGTGAAGGAAACCAACGGTGGCCGGACAGCGAACCGAATAATTGGAGCCGCATTTCATCATCGGCCAGATATGAACCTGCTTACTCCCAGAATAATGTTTTTTTTTTTCTACACACAATCGTGTCTGATATGAACCATAAATAGGCTGTCACAGTTTTAAGCTTTTTTTTTCTCCCATGAACTCATTATCTTGCTTTTACTTCTGCAAGAATATTCATACTTACCCACATACTAAATGGTCATTATCATCCACACATCTTTCGACATCTTCAACAGTTTGAGGAAGAACCTTATTAAGGGTCTCCGGTAGAAAACTGACGCAGAAGCAAGACATAACACAGATGACGGCGAATATCAGGTAAGGAATGTAATATCCATATTTGTTCTAGAAAAAAGTAATAAAGCATTTTAACTATATTTTCCTCATTTAAAAATGCATGGTACTTACACATACAATTTCAGGATAATTTCGATAATTAATTTAAAAAAATTATGTATGTATGTTTTTTTCTGATTTGCTCCGTGGAAATCTCTCTGAATTATCTCTCTGAATAGCTTTGTGGGAAAGGCCTAATAAATCTTCTTCGTTCTTAGTTCTCGTCCAGAGATGTATTTACAACAGAAAAAGAAAACTAGAAAGACTATTTAATTTTATTTTCCTTTTTTAGGAGTGAAGTAATAAACTATCCAAGTGCCACTTTTTATTAACTGTTATAAGTGTACATTTATTTGAAAACTTTTCTCAATTTTTCAATTTATTTTCTATAATTGAAAGGCTCAACCTCCCAAACATTGTATATAGACCAGTACGTCACGCGCGAATTTTTTCAGATTTTTTATGCATCATCTGCATTCTCCGCAAAACCCTTAAAATTTAGAACTTTTTCTAAACATAACAAATTTTTATAAATTTTCAAAAGTGGTCGGAAAGAAACAAAATACCTCTGAAACGTTTTGTATTGAATGTAATTTTTTGCTCGTGGATTTTACAAAAATTTTCCGTATTATAGAGATATACGTTGCAGATTTGTTTATATACTAGGAGGATCCGCCCCCTGCTCGCTAACGCTCGCCAACCCCCGAGAATTGCTACGCAATCCTATGTGGTTCACGCCGTGAACCATGGCTCGCTGCGCTCGCTCGCCAATGAACACAATGTTCTAGCACAAAGACATAATATATTATCATCAAAGACATAGTATTTTATCATCAAAGACATAGTATTGTACTTATGTAGAAGAATTCTACCAATGTTCTTATTGGCTTTTAAAAAAGTATATTAGCTATTTAGATTGTACATGGTGAAAAAATCAAAACATTAGCTAAATAAGAAACATATTAGCAAAATAAATTATCAAATATTGCTTCACTAATATTCTGCATTTTAAAGCGTGAAAATTCAATGCATAAATAAACGCGAAATATAAAAAAATTCAATGCATTCAATACAAACACTTAAACGTTTTTTAGACGTTTAGGTAGCTCCCAGTAGAAAAATATCAATTCAACAGCGGCCTTTTAAAGCATTCTCACTTCAATTAATTAATTAATTCCTAATTGAGTTTAAATTAAATATTGTCATGTTTTTAGTGCATGAATCTGAATTGAACAACCTGATAATGCTCACTCTGGTTATTGTTATCTGGTTGCTCACTACGTGCTCTTGCGCGCCGAATCCAATCAATTAAAAATGAAAACTGTTGCCAGCGCGAGAAAAGAAATATCATCGGTTTTATTGATACATACATACGTACGTATTAGCGTTTTATATAATATAGATAGATATGTATATATATTACAAAATTATCATACGTTATTACAAAAGTATGATAATAACAAAGCTACTCTATATAATCAAATGTATTTTACCATTTTTTTCGTATCGGTGTTTTTCATATTACAGGCTACAACCATGAAAACTGTTTTTAGTTGATTTTTATCTACCACTATTTTTAAATAATTCGTAGATTTATATAATTCACCACGTTATAATTCTTTTGCCTTGCTAAACTTCTTCAAAAACAAGCAAAAATAGTCAAATATTTGCAAAATTAATTTGTCCCATTTTTTAAAATTATTTTGACGGGTCCGGAGCAGTTGGCATCTCTGAATGTAGTCTTTATCTATGGAATAAAAGCGCAGCATATCAAAATTGTCCAGCAGAAGAAAAGATAAAGTTCTAAAAAGTGTTTTTTTACATTAAAAAAATTAATTTTTTTGGCCTGTTTTTTTCAAAAAATCTGTGTGTTATGGTTTAAAAATATAAAATCTTTAAAATTTACTACAAAAACAAGATCAGCAGTTTTACGCACCTGTCAAAAATTAAATTGTGTTAGCAATATTAATATAAATTTTTTGATATCATTATGTTTGTATCTACCAGGATGTTTTATTTTCTATATATTGATCCGAAAGGTATGATGATAGCTAATATTAAGAAATTTTTAGCATCGTTATAATAAATCTGATACCTGTTGTTAACTTTTTACAGGTGCGTATGAGCCCTGTTTTAATACATTGCAAGCGGGTTACATAAAAATACGTTTTTGAAATATCTACAATACATACAAAAGTATAGAAATTGGCAGTAAAACAACTTCGTTTCTTCTTTGTTTATCGAAAAAATTATCCATTCGTGATTACTACAAATATAAATGACTCAGTATCTATGTAAGCAGTGCAACACTCGCAAGCCGTAATTTTCTTTTAACTTGAAGTTGTAGCTATAGGGGCAAGTTTGCTCGAGCTTTAACCCTTTCGCGCTGACTGTCACAAATACGCGCCAGCATAAAACCGTATCAATCAGGGTAAAAAGAAAGAAATGGTAACCAAAGTAGTTCTTTAGCAGTTTATTTGTGGGCGGGGTTATAATTGTTTGATTTATTTAATTCACCATTACTTTAGTTCAAAATAAAATTATTTAGTTATACTTTGAACTAACATTATGTATATGATTTAACTAACAATAATTAAAGTAAAAGCAAAGTAAGTCTGTTAAATTAGCAACGCAAATATTTAAGCTACCTTTTTTTATTTATTCACATCCTGATTTTGTACGAATGCTTTTGTGAATCTTGCCTACCACCTACCCTAACAGCTGTGATACAAATTTTAGGAAAGTTGTCTTCATTCAATGTGTCAACATCTAAATAATACCCCCTTTAATTTGCAAATACATTTTGGTAGATATGATTTCTCAGAAACAATTGGTTTCTACTAATTTCCTATACCTTTTTCTGCAATTTTTCCATCCTATATTCTAGATCTTTTCCTGTAGTACATCATTAATGTGTTAATATAATAATAACAATTATAGAAATCTAATGAATACTTACCAATCGGACTATAAAGGGAGCCAGCAATGTTGATCCTACGCCAACAGTACTTGCAAATCCCATTCCAACCCCACGCAGCGAAGTGGGAAATAATTCTGGACATAATTGATATTGACCCATAAATGCTGCACTTGCTCCAGCTTTAGCAAGTAATGTAGTAATTACTCCAATGTATGAAGACTCTAGAAAATTAATTAATCTATTAAAAGTACATTTGTTTCTGAAACTACTAAAAATTTAGTAATCTAAATAGAGCATATATAAGATACTTCTATACTAGCTCTATAATAAACACTTTTTTTTTACTGTTCGCACAATTTCAGATATCATTTTTGAAACTTTTAGAAATGATATGAATGTAGATGATTGCAATATTTATATTGCAATTCTTTTCTTTTTTTTAATTTTAGGGGTATTGACAAAGTAATGACAACATTTCTGAAAGCTTCAAGCATGATATTGCAAACAGTTTCTAAGATTTTGTCATGTAAAATGTTCCAAAACATATGCTGCAAAAAAAGAAAGTTGTGTACATAGAGTTATGATTGAAGTGTTTCGTAATTTTTACCAACCCCTGTATATCCAAGATTCACATTTGACTTAAAGAAATGTAAAAGTTGTAGTTAATTCTCTCTCATATTAGTAGGCATCTCCTATTTCTAGGATACCACATTAATGCTTACAAGTTTTCGTAGGGCAGAATCTTCATAACAACAATACTTTCTTCGAAAACTAACATCTAGCAATGGTCATAAATGTATTAAATGGACGAAATTTGTCTCATTTTCATTGCCACTATTACATTTTTCTTAACCAATAAGATATGTATCCGCAAGTGTATAAAATCTATCAGTTAATCGTTTGCACTTGAAAAGTGCCTCTCACGCAAGATTGTCACCTGTAGAATTACTTACCACTCTAAATATAAAGATTTTTTACATCTTAGCGCTAAATGCCCATTTTATTTACTGATGGAGCTTTCGTTCGTTCGTTGTTGTAGAACTGAAAGCCTCCACACGGTTTTTTATAGGTAGTCCGATCGGAATACTGCGAAGGATATTCACTTACCGAACGAGTCATTTAATATAGAATATAGTTAAAATAAGAGAGTGGTAGCAAATATATGACTAAAAATTTGTCTTATTTATGAATATTATTGGTTTGCCTTATTCACTTGTCAACCACTACAGATTCAATTCTCAACTTTATAAGATGAATTTCTCTCAATTACTTTTATAAAAGGTTTTGGGTACATGCGCACAACTGGTTCACTTTTTAAGCAGTCGGCGCGGACTACTTATAAAAGACCGTGAGGAGGCTTCTTGATGTAGGAGGTGATGATCTGATGCCTAAATGGCCCTTATCCCATTCATCATGAAATATCCCAAAGGGACATACGTAGGAAAGTTGTATTGGAGGATTTAGTGATGGGGCCTCCCTTGCCAAGCGGTATCGCTCGTCAAACGGTTTGTTAAGAGTGGAGGTGGTGGGTTCAAATCACACCGTAACATGAGATTTATTCTTTGTGATATCTTCCTCTGTATTGTGCTATCTGTCCTTCTACGTGACAAAGATTTATAAGCCTTAATTGAGAACACAAGCCTTCAAATGTATGCAGGGCCAATAAATAAAAACTATGTAGTGACTTTCGGATATTATATGGTAAGAGTGCTAATACAGATATTTATGTCTTGTAAAACTTCAGTTGCTTTTATCGATATTTTTTAATCATTGCAAAAGCCTCCAGAGCAAGGGCTTAGTTGTTGGTAAAATAGCCTAGTTTTTAGAAAGCTCTACCTACTTTAATTTTCATTCTACCACCACTGTTTATGATCTTTCCAACAACTTTACAAGTTGGCAGCTATGTATTTGTAATTGCAACTTCACAGAGTGTCTGGAATCTATACATTTTGATGTGTCTAGTATCTATACATTTTGATATTTACAAAATGTGAACCTATACATATTTTGTTTTTAAGCATTAGTATATTGTTTCGCATTTTTATGAATCATTCAACAATAAAAACACATATAAAAAATAACGAATAAATAAATATTTTAAAATTACCCCGTGGTGCGAAGGCTGGTATTAAGCAGGATAGGGCACACACTACGTATGAAATTTCAACAGTTTTCTTCCTTCCTATATTATTCAAAAGCCACCAAGTTATTAAGTGAGCTGGTACTTCTACTATCGAAACCAAGAAAAAGTTGATAAACTCATTTCCACTTAAATTAGTCACATTTGCTTGAAGTCCGTAGTAAGGTATGGAGACACCAATCCTGAAGTATAAAAGACAAAATGCTACAACCAATACAGACATGAAAATTGAAAACTGTCTTAATAATGAGGCAGAGAAAGCAAACTACATCTGAATTTATTTTACATTATGTCGAAATAAAGACATAAATAGAAGGTGATAAAGAAGTAAATTTGCTATTTCCCTAAAAAGCAAATTATTGACAAAATGCAATAAAATTTTGTATAAAGGTATTATAAGGTATGCACTCAAAAATAGTGTTAAAAATTATCATTAAGTTCTCTTAGCTATGGTTAAAGGGAAATAATTTTCAAAAATATTCAAATAAAAACACATATTTATTCCAAAGCAACGTGATTCTCCCAATAAAAAAACTTAAAGTAGAGCTGAAAGCTGGAAAAACGGCTGTTCTATAAAAGAGGAACTTAAAAAAGACGGAGGAAAAAAATTCACGTGTTAGCTTTTCTGCTCTATTTAGCGTGCTCTGAGCATCTGGTCAGAGTGTTTTCCTATTAAATTGGAAAAGAGAAAATTATTAAAAAATTGCTTTATTTCAGCTTGTTTTTGGGAGGAGAAAAAAATACGCGAGAACCAAGATTATAACATATTGTTACAATTATTACATACACACGCATGTTACCAAAATTATTATAATTAAAACATGCATATTAAACAGTTTCTTACCCGAGAATAAATATATACAAGGTTATTCATAATTCCCTCCTGTCGGCCACCGGTGACCGACTGAAATTACATTTAGGCTGCGTCTGCCACAGTTTGCTGACACTGACCTTTCACATAGGCCGCGATAAACAGCTGGCTGACAGCGTATAACACGATATAGAACTATAAAATTTACACTATTTTATGGAATTGCAGAAAATTTATTCAAAATTTACTTAATTATTGTGATTCATGGTTTAATAAATTTAATTTAGTCGATTTTTATCCACCACTATTTCTGCTTATATAAACCACATTTGTCAGATGTGTCATGATAAACCTTTAAAAAAAATAGCAAAATCCGTCTAACATTTGCAAATTTAGTTGGTAGTTATTTACCGTGGCCAAATGGGCAAGCCATGTAAAATTAGCATGGCGTTCAGCGTGTTAAGCGATGGTACAGTTACACTAATTTAACCCTTTGTTTTAGAGATTCTTACTACAGTAAAAAAAAAATAAATAAAGACGTACACAGCCACTAAGGGTTTACAAGACAAAACTCATTGTTGTCATACTAACCACTTAATAACCATACACTTCTAAATAAAGTGGTTACAATACATTGAAATGTAAAAATTTCAACTTCTAAAGAGGTAGGTAATAAATAATTGGCAGTAGTGGCTTGGAGTCACATCGCGAGTGCAAAGGATTAATTTCTAGACACTATTGCTGTGAAAAATATTTTCTGAAAATACGCAATTGGTTTGCATTGTTGCCAAACTTTTAAGAGTTTGGTGAAAATTTCTGATAGTACTGATTTTAAGGAAATTTTTTTTTCTTTTTAAGTTTGATTTAAAGTCGTTTCCCCAATCACTAATTGCAACTGATTCAAAAGTTTAAGTGAAGAACGCCTTTTTGTTCCAGCTCCTTCGAGGTGAGGCTTACAAAATCACAAAAAATTCTGAAAGCTTTAATTTTTGTCTTTCACTCTGTAAAATAGTTCTTAAAGAGAGTAGTAGTTGGCTGTCTTGGGATACTTGCGAGCGACTTACATGCGTGAGTCAACGAATCAGACTCGACACACATGCGCTGTGGCTTGCTGGTAATTCAATACGATCTGAAAATTGATTCAGTGTACAAATAAATCCAAACTAAAAAACTGTAACATGCCATGGACGACCACGTAATTAGACATAACATGTGACTAGTTGCAAAAACCCGATTGTCAGCCTTGAAAACTATAAAGATTCTGTTTTATTTATAAATGACGATTTTATGATTTCTTATGATTCCTTTTTTTAAAATAACTGTATAAAAATGTAAATTGTTCTATTTATCTTACCATCGTGTCACAAAGGGGAATTTTATTTTCACATTGTTTTATGTTTGCTATTATTTTACTGACCATTAACAGAAACAAAAAAAAATTTTCAGCCTACTTAACAAAGATGTTTTTCTTGTTATGTCCCTCTCTCATATCCAAATTTGTCGCACCGACCTAATCGCAAATTGCTTTTAGTAGAACAAAACAGAAGACATTGTGAAAGGAAGAAAAAAATTGAGAGTAAATACTTCCACTTCAAAAAAATTTATTTTACCATTGTCAAAACTGAAAATTAAAATGTAAGAAATATAGCAGAAAATTGACTATGTTTCACTTAAAGCCGAGGTGGCTCAGGTTATAGATCGTTCGTCTCCTAATGAGATGCATAACTATATGCCTCCCAGGTACGAATCCCAGCGATGGCTGGTTGATACGAATTCCGATCCCGGCTCACATTGACTACAGTGCTAACATAAAATATCGCCAGAAGTAGACGGATCATGGGCTAGAGTCTCCTTGCTGTAAGGCTAACAATGGGAGACATTTCTGGTTTTCCTTTCCATGAAACGCAAATGCGGGTTTGTACCCTCGAAAAGTACTCCACGAAGGCTAGTTTGTTCCAATGCTTGTTCAGTCGTTCTATTGTCTTCTGGAATATGTTCAAAATTGCAAGGCTACAGAATTGAACACTGATAGTTGCAAACTCAGAATTGGGTCGGCTGTTCAACTCCAGTTAAAAAAATAAAATATATTTCTTTTACATTACTTTAGCCGCCAACTGTGTTTTGTTGTAAGAAAAAAAATCTCAGAAATTGACACAGTAAAACGCGTGATATAATAGTTTAAATTCTCACCAAGCAGCAACGGATAGTAGAAACCGTTTTCTTAGAACTGGATACTTAAGAAAATCAATAGGTGAGTTTTTTTGACGCATAGATTCCTTTTTTATTTTCCCCAGTGCCTAAAAACAAAACAAAAAAACAATTAAAGAAGCTTTAACAATAATTTACGTAAATTTTATTAAAATATCAATCATATAATATGTAATAAAAAAAATGTATTAAATTTTTTTTTTTTTGATAAATACCTTTAACACGAGGTTTACGGACGTTTCTTATATACCTATTTCAACGAACACGCGTCAATTTGACGAATGAACGAATACATATAACAACACTTACAGAGATGCCAACTTGCTCCGGACAGCAAATATATATTTTAAAGTGATAGTTTATCAACTGTAATTCTTGATTTAATAAATTCAATTTAATAGATTTATATCCACCACTATTTCTAAATAATTCATAGTCTTATATAATTCATCACTTACTATTTGTAAAATTTTACTTAGTAGTTATTTACTGTTTTTTTTAAAAATTATTTTGGTATGTCCGGAGCTGTTGGCATCTCTGCACTTAGAAAGCAATGTAATTATATAAGAAAAAAGAAATAAAAATATGAGATATATATTTATGAAATATTCTCAGGGGTGAAAGCGAGACGGAAAAGAGGAAAGGCTTGTAGTAAAACCATTTCAGTTATAGCAAGTTTTGGGGAGGAGTTTACATATTCTTTTTTTAAATTTTTCAACAATATATACTTTATCTTGGAAAAGAAGCAGTTTTATATATATATACCAGAATTATAAAAGAAATCTTGATAGTTACAGATATTTCATTTTTTTTTCGAAAAAAATGCTGGAATGAAATATTTTACGTACCAGGTTTTTCTCTTTTCCGTCTTGCTATATAAGGGCTTTCACCCATGAATATTCTAGTATTATATTTTTCAATACTCGAACAAAGCAACTAAAACCTTCAAAATCTGACATCAATTGACATTCTGCATTTGTTCTTTCTATTATTGCTTATCGGCAACAGTTGTTTATCGATTGTTTCATTTGAGATAACGGATCTAAGTATTGTCAGTACATTCCTATTTTTTATTGATGTGATGCTTGCATGTTTACTCAAAATTTTGTCTAAATTACGATTGCGTGAAATTGATGCACATCCGTCGAGATAGTTATACCACTAAGAGAATTTCAATATTTCAACGCTTTTGAAAAAAATAGACTTAAATATATATTTACCTCGATCAATGGATAAAAGTCATTACAAGAGATAAAATAAAAATGCAAACAGGTTTTGTAATTTTCCTTATTAAATTCGAAATGCGTCAAAATGACGCGTCCCGTAAGCCTATTGTGAAAGATGGGATTACTTTTCAACGGAAATAATTCACTTATATCCTCAATAGATGGCTGCACTGGTCAGCTTGGTGAGTTTTAATGATAACTTGATTTGCACCTAGGTGGCACCACAATTATAAGTATTGAATTGAATCACAATAATGATATTTGTCTTAAATTTTAATTGAACTATGTGTATTTGAGATTATTCATATTTAATTAGTATTGTTTTTTCACTTTCACTAAGTATTACTTAATTCGTGACTGTTTTTAGACTGTTTTTTGTGACGTTCACTGGTGTTGTGCTACTGCTCGTGGGAAGAAAAAGGTCAGACTACGATTCATTCGCCTTGCTAACACGTGAATAAAAGATGGTGGAGAATGGATGAAAGAGTTGATGAACGAAAGTGGCGAGCGAAGTTAGGCCGGAGCCACTAAGTAAGAATCGGATTCCCTGTCCAAGTGGTCCCGTTGCTGAAAGTCTACTGATCTACAGTTGCTAACTGCCATAATAGAATGAAGCTTGAAAAGAGTTTTGGTGTGCCGTCGATCAGAAACTGGCGTGTTGGCCTGTTCCACAAGTTCTGGCTGCAATACTGGTGAGCGTTCAAAGGATTTGGTCCATAATCTGGTTTGAAGTTAAAAACTCTAAGTTCGATTTTAGTATAGTTTCAAAAGAATAATTTACCTTTATTTTTAATTGCTTTTACTGGATTTTACGATAAATGTGCCTTTTATTTTTAATTGTTTTTACTGGATATAGAGAATGTTGTGCATTTTATTTTTAATTGCTTTTAGTAGATTTTAAGATAAATGTGCCTTTTATTTTAATTGCTTTTACTGGATTTTACGATAAATGTGCCTTTTATTTTTAATTGTTTTTACAGGAGATAGAGAATGTCGTGCATTTTGTTTTTAATTGCTTTTAGTGGTTTTTAAGATAAATGTGCCTTTTATTTTTAATAGTTTTTACTGGATTTGGAGAATATTGAACCTTATATTTCTACTTGCATTTTATTGAAAATATAATTTCGTATTGCTAAATTTTAAACCTGAAGTAACTAATAATTTGTAAATAAGTGATATCGACGTAATAGCATTTGGAAGTGATTTGAGTTTGTTTTTGTTTGGAAATATTTAATGCCAATAAAATTGTTTGTAAATGTTTGATGTTGCAAGTAATTCCTTGATTGTTTTTTTTCGAACTTGAATATACTGTTGCCAAAGTTACTATATTGATCACTAGATAACGTAAACCTAAATTTGAGAGGTAACAGTACAAATAACTGTAAAAAGGATTTTTTTTTTACCACTGAACATTGTTTCACTGGAAATTAATGTAAAGAATGTACCTGAATATTTTTTATAAGCTCTTCAAAAGGTATATGGCGTTGATTGGATATACTAATCTTTTCTAATATTCTAGCTGCGTCTTCATATCTTTCTTGAGATATTAACCAACTCGGAGATTCAGGTAATACTCTGTTGAAAAAAAAAAGTATTTTCTAATTTATCTAGCTATAAAATTTGTAGGACTATAATAAAAGAGCACGAAAGTTTCAACAATATCCAAAGACAATTGTGTAGCCCAAATGCGAAATTTTCTAACTTTTTTCTTTTTGTTTATTATTTTGATCTCCAAAGATGGGCCTCTCTCTCTCTCTCTCTCTTTATATATATATATANATCTATATATAAATATATATATATATATATATCATTTCTTTTATTAAAATTAATCTCAGTGCACTCTTTTCCCGCTTTGAAATTACTCTTCATTTAAATTTTAAATAAAAAAAGATAATAAAAAAGTATAATCGTTAAAAAAGTATTACCTTTTCTTATGCACTATTTACTTTTTGCGTTTTTTCTACTAAAAAGTATTAGATCTGGTCTACAAATTTGTTACAGACTGGAATATTAAAATTTCGCACTGCGGTAAAATATGTAAAGCTGCAAAACCCAGAAGGTAATCAGTTGTTTGAGACATGAAAGAGATATATTTACAAATAAATTGGCCATAGGTTTTAAAAAGTTATTAATAAAAAATCCGCGTAAAAATAACCGTAAAAAATCATGCTTCTTGCCTATAAAAAAAAAGAAAGACATGTAGTTTGTACACTCTATAATGCTGAGATAAATGTATAAAGGAATTGGCAAGGTGTACTTAAAATTGTTAAATATAAAAACCTATATATTTTTAACAATAAAGAAAGATGTTGTTTGCTAGGTAAATAATAGAAAATATGTAGCTGCTATAAACATGACATTGTTGACGTCAATGTCTCAATTACTAAGATACATAAAGGGTAAAAATAATTGTAAAAAAAATCATGATTTTTACCTGTAAAAGAATAGAAGACATGCAGCTGCTACAGACATGACAATGCTAAGGTAGACCCAACTTCTTGTAAGATAAGCTATTAAAGACAGAAGACAAAGACCGCCTGTCCAGCAATTCGTAGCGATTCCATTCACTCTCGCTCGAAGATCTGGTTTGACTAATTCCAAAACTAAACAATTTATGAGGTCTTAATTTTTCATCTATAAACAATAAATGTCGGCATTTGTCAGAAAATAATGAATAATAGGAAAAAGTGTAATCAAAACGTTTTTGTTGCACAATATTTTTAAACCACTGTTTGAATTTCAGATAAATATATCAACTTATTTTTTTTACAAATCCCTATAAACTATCTGTTTGTTTCATTTAGTGCAAGCATTTAACTGAGTATATTTATTTATTTATGTAGGATTAAAATTTATGTAATATAGGCTGCTCATTTGAAAAGTGGAGATCAATGACAGGATTGGAAATAAAATAGCGACAACAAGGCCTCCCTTTAGGGTTTACAGTTAAGACAAGAGAAATTCACCTAGACTGATTAATCAGTTCACGTGTGAGCATTTTAAGTGAATGTAAATTCGAGTAGGAATGAAGAGTCGAGAACAAACCAATACAAAGTAGTACGAATTTTAGTGATAGATGTTTATCGCCTTGTTCATTTACTCTATTTGTGTCAAATAAATACACTACACAGATGTCATGAGTCGTAACTCTTTGATTGTCCCTGATCATTTCATCAACTGGGGAAATGGATTCTTGTTAGCTCATGAAATTTGTTAGCCTATTGTTTGGGCACATCCAATATTGATATACACTCTTCTAGAAAACTTTTACACTGTTCACAGTCATTCCTCCTAGACAATAATCGGTATAAACAGCAAACAGTATACGATGAGCCGCGTTGGCTCAGGGTATAGAGCGTTCACCTTCCAATGCGGTGAACCGGGTTCGAATCCCAGTCAATACGAATTCCGCATCCGGTTTGCACCGACCACAGTGCTGACGGGAAATATCCTCAGTGGTAGACGCATCATGGTTAGAGTCCCCTTGCCGTCAGGCTAACTGTGGGTAGTTCTTGTGGCCTTGCTCTCCATGCAACGCAAATGCGGGTTAGCTCCATCAAAAATCCTCCACGAAGGCAAATTTCTCCCAATATTCGATCTAGGAGTTCCCTTGTCTTCAGGATAGGGTTCAAAATTACGAGGCTATGGAGTTGAACATTAGTAGTCGTAAACCCATAAAATTGGGTCGGCTGTTCAACGACGGTTATAAAAAAAACAGTCTACGATGAATACCAGCATTCTGCTCATCTCCTGCGATTAAAAATCGCACTGGCTTTTCTTTTTTAGGACCAATCAATCCTTCTTAGATCGACTTTTCATTCACTTAAAATACTTTCAAGTGAACTGGTAAATCCTTTATACGCAGTCTGTTGTGCAGTAATATTAGCGTAATATATAACTTCGAAGAGTGGTGCTGTTATAGCTCCTCTATTTCTAACGTTATTATTCGTGCTACTTTTCAGTTAGACAGCCTTTACATTAAATAAATATGTACGCGCTCTAACTTGAAATAGGGTTGACACTTTTACTGTTTAAGGTTTAATTTTATAATAAACTGTAGTAAAAAAGATTGTAATTTTGTGGAATATTGACGTGGAAGGATCAATTATGATTTTCATTATTGCCATAATTATCGATTTTATTAAAATAGTGCAACAGATACATTTCACATTCTACAGATAAATGTTTATAAGTTAGTTCTGATAGAACGTGTATCATATAAGATTTTTTTTCTAGAAAATATCGAATAGTTAATTTTTCAGCATTATGGAATCAATTTATTTCAAAATAACGTTAAAAGAATTTATTCAGCTGAGGATTTAGTTTTTTTCTTATTTACAAAAATTTAAAATTGACTAAACTGATTTTCTTAATTAGAATAATTACATTTTTTTAAAATTGCCTTTCTCTTGTGTTGAAAAACTAGATTGTACAACTCAAAGAAAAAAATCAAAATTGCAAAATTCAAAAATCTCTAATTGCAATCACAGTTAAAAAAGCTTATAATTCTGAAACATTATGATTATAATATCATTTGATAGTTGCAGATATATTATTGTCAAAGTTCGTCCTCATCAAGTTATAAATTGATTTAAAGTATGAGTTGACTACTTACAATTGACAACTTAGTTTTTAAAATTTTCTTCTATCAAAATACTTAACTTAAATTAATACTTGGACTTATTAAGATTCATAGTCAAAATGAATGAAAAATAATATCTAATAAAGTAGGAAATAAAATACTGGATTTTATTTCAAAGGCGTTTATTTCTTAAAATACGACTATATATATATATA